CAACCCAGAGGAAAACCCTCCTCCGGGGCAATGACTCCACCCTTGAGAGAAGGGAAAGTGACATGGTAATATGCCATTGAGGTGCCCGTGAAAACACCTTCCCCCAACTCGAGGCCCCACACACAATACTGTATGCAAGGAACCGCAAGTAACAATTGCGGAAATCTCCACTCCGTCAAAAGACCCACATCCACCACCGCTCATGTGTAAACACCACTTACACACGAACCCTCACAGAACAAGTGAGGAACACCAAAGACATACAACCTTTGGGTCGAAATTCATTTTCGACAAACTCCACCATTTTCTTTTCTCTCCCTGCAATACCAATGTATTGCCGTTCACTTCAAAGTAATGGCCCACACTCATTCATTCCTTAAACCCCCTCTCTTTTCTTCACCGACATGTACAAAATCGCCCACTTTAAAGTGGCGACAACAAAACACTCATTGATAATTCCAAACTCAATGTAAATCAATTATTAAAACTCTGTTTTATTCACTATCAACCTTGAATGCATCACAAATGCAACGCAAGGGGGGAGAATGTCAGGGCAATAGCCCCGAACCCCGAGTCACATGTAAATGAGATACATATAGTCACGTGGGCAAGCGGGAACCTCCGGGTAACTGCTTACACACCACCATAAAATACACAAACTTGTATCACTTACAGCCTTGTGTGCTAAAGCTACCCTAAGACCTCACACATTCAGTAATCACGTGTGTCGTTCCCATAGTCGTTCATATGCGGGCACCGTTTTCGTTTAATTGTTCAGGATTTATGATATGCGCGGGTGTTTATTTCTTTCATATGGGCTTCTGTGATTTATTTCAGATTTTTCCCTCATGATCTAAGGTTGTTTTGCACTTTCCGTGCTTTGTTTTGACCGGGCTCTTCCTTATTTGGACGGAAATTGGTCTTCGCAATCTGCTGAAGTGCGGATCTCGGTTCCGACGGCCGGTTCCCTGTGCATCGCCACCCTCACATGTCATTATACATGATGCAGATTTCTATATTCCCGTCATGGGTATAACTTCACAACGGCTGGACCGTTTGGGCTGAAAATTTGCATAACTATAGTTCCCCATTTTTAATAATTTCTGTGTAAATTTCGTTCTATGTTTTAATTATGGATCCTACGCAAACATTGTCTTTTCCCTGAGCTCGGACTTTTGATGTTGCTATTCCCATTATTGGATATCTCATTAACGCATGATCCTTTAATTATGAAACTTTGGGAGGATTAATATTAGATCCCTTCCTTTCTAATGGGCCATCAAGCTTGTCTCGGTCGTTACTAGTTAATCTTCGCGCTTGCCTTTTAGACATTGTCCTCGTTTTGCAGGAGTTTTAGTCATATCTCCGTCGTTTATGGGTAGTTTCCCCTGTAATTACTCTCATTGGGTCCGTTTGGGGGACATCTACATTTCCTATCATAAACCCGACTTTGAATTTTGCATTAGTTCCTGAGGAATCCTTGTTCCGTGGTACTTCCATCCTTGGCTACGTGTGCGGACGTGGGAAAGTAGTTTCCGTGGAGGTTCTCTGATTATTTTTATAGTCAAATCTTGGTTTAATATTTGCTATAAATTCCTCCGAGAATTCCGTCTCGTTGATGGTAAGCTTGAAGTATTTTTGCTATTTTTCTTTCTTTCGATTTATCGTGTGTAGTCATAATAATTCGTAAAAATTCGTAAAATTCGTTAAAATTCAGGTCCTTCTATTTTCTCATATCTACTTGTCATATGAGGTTTTGTGATTTATCTGGCATATTTCCATAATGGGTTTCCATAGTGTGGCCGTTATTTCTCCTACACCATACAATTGAAAAAGTAATGATGCTTTGTCAGTGGCTTGTGGTGGAACTGGCAGAAGGGTTACCTTGGTCAGATGTGATGGAGTGCCATAAAGCTGCATCAAAGATGGTTTCTCCCTTTCATGCAGAAATGGATGAGAATGACTGTCGAGAAGTGCTTGCTGGCCTTTGCACAGGATCCATTCAGTATATCGTTGCTACTGTTAGTGCTAATGTCGGAATTGACATGACTGTTACCAATGTCATCTGCGTCGATCTTCCCAACTTGGTCAAAGAATTGACACAATGGGCAGGATGGGCAAGTCGGGATGGCAGTGGTGGGATGTTAGTCATGTATGCAAACGAAGATCTCTGGGTCATACCTGCAGAGCACCGAGATTTGAAGACATATGTACCACCAAGTGAAAAGGGTCTCACAGTGGCAAAGATCGAGCGTCGTGACAAAGTACAAGCAATGGTACAGCCTGCACTGGTCGAATTCTTCAATCCTCGCCCCAGTGAATGCCCCCACATGGTGCTATGCCGATACTTTGGCAACGAGTTCATGGAAGTGGCACACTGCTGTGAGCGGTGTGAACCCGGACTGCTGGAATCTCACCTTTCCATTGTAAAAGACTACATCACCATTGTTTCCACAAGAATACCGAAAAGGAGTAAACAGGTTAGCCGCTTACCTGGGGAGAACTTCCATAAGCCAACAAAGGACCTTCGCAAGCATGCGACAGGCCAACTGTTGAGTTGGCGGTATGATGTCTGGAGAAAGCGACCATTCAGCTTTGATTCTGATATCTCACCTGAAATTATTGTCGGAGATAGTGACATTCGTGGCCTTGCAGAGCGGCTATACACCATCTCCACATGCGAGCGCTTTGACTTTGTGGTCAAAGCCTGGATATCAGTCACCTCCATGTCAGAGGCCGAGATGGACAGACTCTGGGAGAGGGTTCAAGCACTGAATGCGGAATTGCAAGAGATTATCATTAAACGCAAGAAAGTAAAGGGGGCACAGAGAAAGAAGTTGACAAAGGAGGCAAAATGCGAAAAGTCCCCAACATTGCATGCAGGTGATGGTGCCAGAGCCATGGATGGTGACAGGGGGTTGGTGTGCACGACAGGGCCCAAGGGGCCAGGGCCAACAGGGGTAAATGGAACTGCAGCCATCGAGACGGAAGATGGGGGGAGATCAAAGCGAAAGAGGGTGAGATCGGCACGTGGCCTGTTAATGGATGAAACAACACAATTAGAAAAAACAGATGCATACGCAGCTGGGCACTGATTTGTAAGTAGAATACTCACCTATCAAGTAACATATTTATCCAGAAAGTTACTCAATGCTCCATCACAGAGTTTTGCATAGCCACCCAAGAGTGTGTTGATTGCCAAGTAAGATTGGGATCGGTTTGGGTAATAGAGATGATGTCACTGAACCAAGTATGAATGACCCAGTAAGTTGATGTCCACTGTCAGTTCAGCATCGGTTCGGGTTGATATGGTTTTGTGAAGACCAAGCTGATCCTTGATTGTGTTTGCAAGTTGACCGAGTGGCATGATGTTCAAGGAGACAGCCTCTCGAATGAACCTTGAATCAAACCTTGCCAAGCGCCCATTATGCACTCACTTGATCACAAGGTTGTGGTGCTCCTGAAGGAGATCTCTCTCCTTTCGCCCTCCAACTAGCCCTGATACATTTATAATGTACCAGTCAAATACTGCCTTCTTTGTTGCTGCCATGAAATTGAACCATAGGTCAATTGCTTGATGTAGAAGTTCATGACTGTAATTGCTTGCCCCAATGCCGAAGAACCACATGCGCAGCCACTATTACTTGGTCAGTTGGTACCGCCTAATCCCAAATTCCAACTCATCCTCACCTTAATCACTTCGAATGTCCATCCTATGTCTCCTTCCTTCACGCTACTCTTGAACTCCCAGTAATACAGCAAATCTCGCCAAAGAAATGCATTGTTGTGCATCAAAATATCGCTGTGAGTGTTGTTTGGCATCTCAAAGGTGAGACATTCATTGTCGAAGGTCAAGTCGATATTCGTTGATGCCCCAATATGATCATTAGTGTTGCTGGCCTCATCATCACTTTCATCTACACCATCTTCATCGCTTTCACCCTCCTCACAACTGGCTCTGACCAAATCAGATGTGATTGAGGGTTCTTCCAGCATCGGGAAAAAAGAGTCCAGTTGAGGATTGATGAAGCGAGCGAAGTATGACTGGCCTTCACTTGCATCGGGCAACAAGGCCATGTAGCCAGAACATGTTGAGCCAAATGCGTGGTATTGTCATGACCAACAAATCCCGGGGCTCCGTCAGTGGTGAATCGATGCCAATAGGCGAATCTGCCGACCCGAAACCCAATCTAACCAGCCCCCAATCTGATGTCTGGCCCCCTGCCCTATCAACCATGCACTGCATCCAGACCTCCACCTGCATCCGGACTTCTGCCCACATCCGGACCTCCACCTGCATCTGTACCTCTGCCCACCTCCACACCCTCTGGACCTCTGCCACTCCTGGTTGCCCTCCACACCCTGTGGTCAGGCCAACACTCCCCTCCGACCTTGCTGGCCATCATGCTGCCTTTGTTTGTGACAACACTGACGGACCACCCTCTGTTGAGGACTTGTCAGCACTGCACTGATTTCCATGTCCCTTCATGGACTTGTGTCGGCACCGCACCGACCCCGCTTATTTGCGGACTTGTATCGGCACCGTGCACTGACCTCCGCTTTTCTCTGGCCATCTTGTCACTCGGCAGCATTCATTCCTTGCCAAGTGCCTATATTGTTCATCCATTCATTCGCTCAGCTTGCCAATATTGGCACTTGATCCGCTTTTGTTTAGTTCATTGCCTCCCATTTCCCAGGCTCTTGTCCTTCATTCAGTTTGACAATCCCCGCTTATTTCCATGCCACTGACCGGTCCTTCTGTGTTTCCCTCCTGCCTATTTATATCCTGTAAATACTTTTGGGGACCTTAGTCTGAAATCAACTAGAGTACCCCCCCTGTCTGGTCTGAGTCTCTCCTTCTGCAAAGGGGGCTTCCCCCCTCTGAGTCCGTGCTCGCAGAGTCTGCGCTCCTCCTACAGGTCCGCTCCGCCTGCAAGTCTTGTTTGAAGTCCGCTGTGAGTGTCAATCAGTAAATACGGGATCTCCCCCAAATGTCAAGCTCAGGGCACAGCACTCCACCTGAGTCGCTGAGGCTGCGATCCCACTCTGCTAACCTTGAACAGCACTTCCGGACGCGCCACATATTTCCGCCCATATATCCGCACACGCACTCCAACAGACCTCTGCATCACCTCCGACCTCAACTCAGACAGAACCCAATCCGTCTTCCATCCATCTTCTGACAGTTTGTCCGACTCTGACAATATTCCAGTCTCTGACAGCATTCCAGATTCTGACAGGTATGCATCATGAGCAAGTTGGCAGAGATCATCGAAACTACATGAATGGAGGAAGTTTCAAAGATTTCTGCCGAAGCATATGTCTAAAAAAACTTACAAGTGAGCTGTGAACAAGGAATTGGGAAGTAAGGAATACCAAATATAATTTAGTGTCATCGCTGTGAGTACAACTTCAATGAGTCTCTCAGCGGGATAGAAATCAACTTTGTTGGGATTTAGATTCCGGCAAAGCTTATCAGCAGCAAAACAAAGACCGATGTCACCCTTTTCAGTCTGTTCTGGCCAGTGAGCTTTAACTATGCCTTTGAGCATTGTGAACTTCATGTGCCAAAGTTCGATAAGTGGCAGGACGTAACGATTGGAAGAGAACCAAGAAGACCCTGAAGCTGTGTGATGCTTCAGGGTTCAGATGCGTGAGATCGTGGCCTGATCACCAGAGAAAGGTATGAGTCATCCTTCAACAGCATGTGGAGGGATGCCAAGCTGGCGTTCAATGATGTCACAGATTGTCTGATGGTTTCTGTCATATCCATACAATCCCAACCTCCACTCCGGGCTCCCAGAACTCCAAACTCCGACTTCTGAAGCCCTACTTCCCTTCCATCACCTTCTCCTTGCCGACAACCAAGAGGTTATCCCACCTCCGGCTCCGACACCACCTTTGGTCCAACTCTGGAACATTCCAGGTCCGACCCCAACCATAACACCTTCCAAACGAATACACAAAACCTATGCTCCTGACTCCGGACCTCCACTCTGGAATCCCGTTCGCGTCTCCATCTCCGGAACCTCCGGTCTTAGCTCTGACCTCGGACTTTGACCCCACCTCCGCTTATACCCATTGTATTGGTTAGCTCATTCCATTTAATTACGTTTGCCAATATTCCGGAGTTTAACTTCCGAGTTCAGACTTTCCGGACTTACGTCGGACCTTGCAACTATTGCATTGCTCCATTCAGTTCCACTATTCTCCCTCATTCCTATTTGGGCTACTGCTTCCTTTCTATTCAGTCAGTTAGCCATTCCCCACTCCCAACCTCCTTCCTTCCTCCTTGGGCCTTGGCCCTTCACTCCTCCTTTGGGAAACACCATTGAGTCAAACCCTTGACCCTCGGTGTTGTCCCCTCTTTCAGCTCCCTTTGTCTCCTTTAGGAGTACCCTTGCTCCTTTTGATTCTGGACCCCTCCTTATATACAATGTACATAGTAACTTGTAACCTCAGTCCGAAATCGACCTGAATTCCCCCCAAGAGACTTTCCCTCTGCTAGATCCGAAATTAGGGACCCCTAGGACAACCAGCAATGGCACAGCGCTCCGCCTGAGTTGCTGAGGCTGAGGTCCTTCCATGCTAAGTCTCTGATTCCATTCCGGAGTCGTCCGAATCCGCACGTTCTAACAGTTTCCCATAGTAGTTACCTCATCGAATCCCAATGTCTCAAGGGGGATGACTTCGGTGATTTGGTTTGGTGTTGGGTGGATTGCAACAGTTTGCCTGAAATTGTCGAAGTCGATCTTGTGTCACCTCAGGCCAGGTACGTGATTGAGTAACAGACGCAATATGTTAATGACACAGACATTTTCTAGATGTTTTCGGTTGACATCATCCCAGATCCTTGTCAACGTGATGTCATCATGTTTGACATGCCACTGGCATTCCTTGTATTCAAAACCATCAAAAGCCTCTGCAGCCATGCCAGGCTGCATGATCAAGGTAGCGGCAGTCCCACTTTCCATAGATGTCTGTGAAGAGAGAGATGGCCACCAGTCTTTATGGTACTGATTGATGTTATCATAGACAATGTGAAATGAAGCCAGTTTGTTGACCCAGTTAGTCCCTATGCTGCGAATTTTCTCAGATGCAACTGCGCTCATTGAGTATAAGCGCTTGAGGTTGAGCTACTTGCAACTGAAACCCCAATGTGGCCAGCAATTGACTGTAATGACTTTGAAGAATTCTCAGAGAACATGAGTAATCCCATGATGCTCTGGAATTTGTTTAACCCTTTATTGCAAAAGTACAGTAGTACCATCAGCACAACGGCACATCCCTTACACGATCATTAGTTATTGGCAAGTACTGAATCAAATAATTCACTCACTGAATAGGGATCTCGTACATGATTCACCCCTTGCCCCTTCCCAGAGTCACTTAATTTCCGTTCTTTTAGCTGCTCTGCTCTCTCCCCACCAATGGCAACCCATGTCAACAACATCCAGGTCACAGGTGCAACACTGATGGCCATCTTCTGGACTGTGTCAACAGAGAAGTCCAGGACTGTATCCCAGCTAAATCGGGTCGTCGCTGTGTCCCTTGTGCGCAAATAAGGGCTTTTGAGTAGAGCCCTGACTTCTGTCTCCATCCGGTCAACAATGTGTGCAACAAAGTACTCCTGTAACTTGCTGTACATGTTTTTGCTGTGTGACTGAGTGCCTGGCTGAGAACCCATCATTGGAACGACATATTCTGGCAGTGTGTCATAGGTGGATTCATACAATTGCTGGGGCCGGGCCCATGGATGACTGTATAATGCATGGACAATATCAACCGGGTGGTTCTTCAAGGTACGTCCCCCTATAAACCACTTGAGCATCTCTTTTGCTGATATACTTAAGTGTGTGGTATCCCCAAACAGTGTAATGAGAAACTTGCCAAGGGTGATGTTCTGCGATCTTAGTATCGACAGTATAAGTTCCACTGTCACCAGCGGCTTGGGCCTGGGCTGACCATCCCTCAGGTTTAATTGCTCAAAGGTAGAGCTGTAACATGTAGGGCACCTTGAGGTGCTTCGGTGTTTATCAATCTCCATTGGTGTTTGGGAAGGACTGGATGCCGTCCATTTGGACTCAGCGGGATTGAACGAGTGGTGGCTTCTGGCACAGTCATCTCTGTTATGCCGTTTTGATGGTGAGAGTGGTTCCGGTGGGCTTCCAATTGACTCTACCCAATGGTTGGCAATAACAGCAGCTCTGCCTGAATTCTCACAGATTTTTTTCATTGGTGAATCTTGGTCCTCTGCAGCTTTGCGCTTGGGATGACCTCGTGATGGAATTGAGATTGCAGGCACGTAAGTTTCATTGGGGTGAGATCTAGAAGATATCCCCTGTGGTCTGTAGCCTGCCAAATTCCCCATCTGGCCGGGCACATGGAATAGAGGTAGAGCAGGAATTTTGACTTGGAATGCATCCATTGCGGGATCGAGGCGGGAATTTGCATTTGTTTGTACTGTAAATATAAACAAATAATTTCCATCCCGAAGAGCTCCTTCTATTCACTTAGACTGTATTGCTTAAGTAACACATGGCAACGGTGAAGACCCTTTCCAACTGTGACAACCATTCAGTAAAAATCCACATTCATGAACCGGGGTTTGGTTCCAGCCTCTATATATTATTACGAAGTCATAGAGGCTGGAGTCCTGCCTAGTTCCTGGCTGTCTGGAACCCCGAGACAACGAAGTTCTGCCATGTTTGATGCAGCATTGAGGAGCTTCAATAAATATACGTGAGTTGTCAGGAGGCAAATTCCCTTCACGGGTTTTGAAGGAGGGCCGCAGTAGGTCCACAGTGTACAGCACCACGATATCTCTCATCGAGTCCTTCGTCACATTCTTGGCCATTCATAGTCTCCCATCACCCATGAATACCGACCTCGTGCTCGACAAACATGGGAACTAGCTCGATGCGATATTGGAGAAACGTTCCTCCTAAGGCAAATTCCTTCATCGATAAACACGACGGTGTCCATGCTCGTAATCTGGGCTCTAATATAATTGAAGTGCCAACCAATAAGCTTGCCGCAGGACACAACGACAAGCGAGATGTGCGAGTAATATGACTGTCGCTTATCGCACGAAAATTGTCCAAGGTATGGTTTATGTGGTCAACTCCCCCAGATGAGGTCGATTCGCATAACAATCGTGAATTGATGCCATTGTCCGCTTCGCAAAGCGAGTGTGAGATGGTGGCAACGATCAATAATACAGCCCATGGAGGACTATAGGTGCTTAGCCCTCTCCTTTTGTGTGCAATTTGCGGAAGCCGGGGAAAGGGAATATTGGTCCAAGTTGGCATCAAAAAGTGCTGATGCAAGCAATGTCACATTTTATCCAACACTTTCTGCGCTATGCTTTGTTCCGCCGCATCTCGGGGAACTGCATATTTGATCGATACGGCGATAACACAAAGCTCATAGGTATGGACGTCACGTTGCCGGGAACTGTGTCAGAGGGAGGGTGAAAATGGAATTTTTCAGATATCAAATTTCCTGCACCTTTCGCTTGAAAAGTTGCTAAAAATTACTCTAAAAACCCGGACAATGCTTCAAGGGTTGGGTCATCATCGAAGGGGGGCCGCCACACAGCTAGTAGTGGGCTGGTGCATTGTGTGTCCCAGGAAATATTACGTCCTCTGGGTTCCCCGGAAGCCAGAAGATCAGGAATACTTATGGTGTCCAAAGTCCGACCCAAAACCCAGAAGTCTGTCAGGCATTGGGTCTAATTTAGCGGAGAGAAAGTCGGGTGATTACGGTTCTGAGCGGAATTCGGGGTCCTGCTCGCAGTGGCTGTTAACGTTGTCTACTTCGTTCTGCTGTAGTATGCCGACTAACCAGCAGGCCAATCTCTGGACTAGCGCCTACCAGCATGCGACCTGGAAAGGGATCTAGATCAAATCCAAGGCCGAAAGCCCATTAGAATAGTGAGACGCATGATACCGGGTACAGAGAGAATATGGTCAGATGCTCAAATCACTTTGAAGAATATCCGAACGAATATTCACGCCGGAAAACAAACCAGGCCAACACGGAAAGAAGAATGGGTCGAAGACCACAGCACAAGGGCCCGTAGCACAATATGGGGACGAACCACTTCACAAGGTAAGCCCATCTACAATGAATCCCCCTCCTACATCATAGGATTCCAGAGGGGGCGAAGACGGAAGTGTACAAACACGCGCAGCCTGACGTACAGCCCCATGAGGCTTCAATATAATCAACCAAATCCCTGCTTTTTATTTAGCTCGAGGTGCCAATTCGCACGCGCGATGAGACAGGAGAGGTTTCAGCCGCTGCCGGGCACATCCGCATGACCGCAGATGCATCCTGGCTACCCACACGACGCGGCGGTACAGAAGGAAAACGAAAACACATCAAAAGTATACATGATGACCACTGTCCTAGGACACGGGAGTGCCGAGGCCGTCGCAAACAACTTTAAAAGAAGAGATGACATCATGTGGACAGGTAGGACATGATTTTGTGAGGAGGCAAGAATAACGGAGTTGGTCAGCGCGAATCAAACACGGACAGCCACTCACAAGCATAGAAATCATGGGCAGGTGACCAGCCTCTCTTCAACAAGAAATCAGAGAGGTCTGCGAAGTATCGTGTCGCCCCCGACCCTTTTCTTTGAATTTGTTCTATCTGCTGTTGGTCGGTGGACTTCGTCAGGGCAATGGTCCAAAGCAGAGGTTTAGGCACTACTTCATTAAGGTGATTTGGAAGATACAGAATGATTACATAGTATGCGGCGAGTATCAATGTCAGTGCTAGTGCAATGTCGAAGTGCTCAGAAATGTGACAAAAGTACTTGGGGTAACCAGGGTGCAAAATGCTTTAGGGAATCACAAAGAGAAATCTCATTGAAGGGCGTGGGTGTCCGTCATGGGAAGGTTAGATGTAGGGCTGCAAGCCGGACATCATCAACGCAGTGACCTAACAAATAGTATTGATGATGAGGACTGATCACCATTGTCGACTTCCAGCGGCACAAGGGGTATTCGTCTCCACCACAAGCTTCCAACAGCGCCGCTCCTTTGGCATAAGTTTTGGTCAGATGCGCAAGTCGGACCTTGACATGCCCTGCTGATGGCTTCTTCGAATGCGTAATTTATGTCGTCTGTGAACCTGCTCAGCTTTTTCCATGACGCTGCTTTCAAACTTTTCGTAAGAAGGGCCAGAAGTCGAGAACGCAAAATGCTTCAACCAGACAACGGGACTCGACCCAGAACAATATCAGCCCCACAAGTTAGGAATAGAGTTTTCATTAAGAGCTCACCAGTCTGGATTTCGCTGGGTTCGACACCACCATTCTTATCCCAGCATTCTATGTAACATCAAATGAACGTGAGCAACGGATAGCACTTTTGGGGTCTTCGTATACGTACTTCCATGAAAGTAACTCGGAAAGATGTCTTGATTGGTTCGATTGTATGTGCCGATCGCAAAGTTCGCGTACAGAGGTGCCACAAGACGCACCGCATCAATTTGAGCTTCTCCCAAGAAAAATTGATTATTTAAATCCCGATTCTATCGGAATAACAACGCGCGTTACACGCGTGCTTAGGTGATTCATTGTCGTGCTTCACTCACGAAAGCTGCCAGGACCTCTGCGACGGGATGTGTATAATTTGAAACACAAGCCTACAAAGAAATTTTCCTTCAGGAAGCTGCCAAGCAATGGGATACAGTCAAGATCGGAGGCTAGCTTGAGTGATCCCAATGATACATTCGCCTCCCCAAGCTTGCACAACATCCAGGAAAGCCACCTGGGCTCCTATTAAAGCTGCAATTCCAACTCTGAACATGTCCAACGGGTGGATAGGGCCAGTCGTAGAGATACTAATTGTTCCCGATGATCGTACGTAGTATCGAGATCGAGCACTAGTGGTGAAGCGACGAATTCCCCGAATCACGTGAGTGAGGTTCTGCGACGGCTTCGGTCATCGTACCACTTGTTGGATGAACAGGCCATGACGACGCGCATATAAGTAATGCTCATACCGGTTATTGATATTATGCTGTCCATGCATATGCCACGTTTCACTGTTGCGCTTACGCTACTCCGCCCCACGTGTACAGAAGGCTCCGTGAAGGCTGTATATCGCCAAAGACATGCCCGCGTTGTTGATGGATGGATTTATCATAGAGGCTGGAGCCATTTCCACTCATGTAGCATTGAGACACCCTGTATGGCACAGATATTTCTCTTGTTTCGTCGCGCATGTTTTAGACCACCTTCATGTATTGGGATAGAAGCTTTCTCGCGAAAGATATTCATTCATACCTTTTAGATATTTGATATCATCCATTCATGTGCATGACAATATAATTAATGTGTGATGGTCACTTCGCTTGCAATGCTCTTGATCGTTATTTACCTTGCTCGTACATAAGAACATTTTTTCTTCGCACCCCTCCTAAAATTGTTCCTAGTTTTCCCAAGCATGGTCAGCCATTTCTCGTGAATATCATTCATATCTACGAAACTATCTCGCCCATAAGTACAAGCGTGACACCTTAGATACGCAAAATTGTATTTTATTTCTCCTTAGACACTGTAATATTCTATATAATACTTTGAAGGATGCGCTCCCCTTCTCTTCCAACCCTCTGAGTGCACACGCCCAAAGCTGAAGTAAGTACTCCCTGATTCATATTACGTACCTACTGACGCCACGCACGTTGGGTGCCAGTATAATAGCACCAAAGTCACAATGCGATTCTGGAATGCTCTTGTCCCAATCGCCCTTGTTCCCGTTGTCGTAGCTGATTTTCACTATACCACTGCCGGGTGCTTCGACCACATGGGAGTCCCTACTATTCCATCGTTTCTGGCTTTGCTCCCCTCAAACCAAGGCGAGCCGAAGTCCAAAACGGATTTTGCTCCTGCTTAACCAATATTTGCCCAACAGACTCATGTGACGATGCAACGAACCCGAAGTCCTTGTTCTACCAGCTGCAGAATGGCCAAGTCACATACAACAACCAACTGACCACGCTGCTTTGCGGTGCTAACATTACGGTGGAATACCTCGACCCTCCCATTTGGAGCAGCTCAGATGGAGGACATGGTCGGTGTTACGGGCTTTCGGGCGGTGTGAAATCAGAGAATTGCACTAATCATGCCAATCTAAAGGGCTATTGCTCATTGCGGGATGCAGGCTTCTGCGACTCGTACTTGTGCAAATAACCCGGCGCACAGTGACCAATGCAGACGTCCGAAATCTTCGGTATCTGGACGCTGGCTGCCTTGTCACGAGACTTGTTTATGTTTTTGTTCAGAGTATTGTTGTATAAAATACTCTTGAAATGATGATTGCCATTTTCATCAAACTTTATGATTCAGAGATTGCATTCCACAGCACTCGTGCGCCGGAAATGGGGACATGACTCCAGTGAGAGCTTCAGTACCGTTGAGCAAGCGACGACGATGATGTGACACCTGACCAGCCTCTCTTAGGCCCAATTACTGTACTGACACAACCAACAACATCAGGAAACCCCCGAGGCTGATTGAGGTGATTGAGATCATTTCAATGTCACACAATTTACAATCACCACAACCAGGTCCCCTGATTACAATTACACCAATCACATGGGTGATTGAGCTGATTATACTGATTGTACTAATTGTCACATTTCTCTTCTACATGTTGAAGTTCATCGATAAAATTATTATATATTTAAAAATTATGTTATGTACATACAGGCATGCAAGTAACTAATACCAAAACACAATGGTGCAGAACAATAGGAGGAAAGCGAAATGGGTGAAAATACAATGTAATTAAACAAAGCAAACACACACCTCAACCGCTGGACCGTTTGGCACCAAACTCAATTGGAAGATGGGGCTGGATCTCCTCTATCAAACAAGCCTAGGTTCATCGGAACCAGACATGTGGTTGTTGAGTATGCGCAGAAAGAAGTTGAGGTTAGTGAAATACAATATAATTAAAGAAAGCAGACACCCACCTCAACCACTGGATCATTTGGCACCAAACTCGGTGGGAGGATGTAGCCAAACCTCTATATCAAACGAGCGTAAGTTCATCCGAAACGGAGGTGTGGTTGTTGAGTACGAGCTGTAAGAAATTGAGGTTAGTGAAATACAATATATTTAAAGGAAGCAGACGCGCACCTCAATCGCTGGACCGTTTGGTACCAATCTCTGTAGAAAGGTAGAGCTGGATCTCATCTATCGGATGAGCTTAAAATCGTCGGAAATGGATGCGTGGTTGTTGAGTACATGCAGTAAGAAGTTGGGGATAGTGTCGTGTGTGAGAAGTTAAGTTGGGGTTGGATGGAATGACTTGAAAAAAAAGAATATGGGAAGGGAGCATGTTGGGGAAGGGTTGGGTGACTGTGGAAGGGTGTTGGCCCATGAGCACAAGTAAGGAACATCAGAGTGGAGTAAAAAATATTGTGTTGCATAGTAAAGAGACATGGGTGTAGATATGAAAGGTTATCTTACTAGTTTGGGGACGGTAATGTTCCGTTCCCCCATTCACCTCAGGCCTCAGTAATCCATCTAAGTATATGCTTGATTTGGCTGTATATTGACGGGGTAGAAGTAAAGGCTAATCTCCCTTTTACAGCTACCCCGAGGGTTTATATACAATCTTATACATTCTCGGCACAAATAAATAGAGAAGCTTCCGCGACGCTAAATTAGCGTCGCGACATAATTATTACACAACACAACATCAACTGATGTTGTGGGCGGAATATAGACATGGGCCGGGGCCTCACAAGATAGCATGAGGTGGAGTGAAAAAAAAAGTTACAAGTTGCAAACCAATTCATTTGAAAACTGTACAGCACCTGGAGCAAACAAATGGACTTGCGATTGTGATGATTGAGATGATTGAGAGTAGTCGATTGGGCAGATTGGGCAGATTGAGCACTTGAATTGCTCTCAATCACCTCAATCGGCCTTGGGGGTTTCCTGATGAACTGGTCACACATCACGCAGGGCAGCCAGTCCAGTAATTTTTGAAAATGTGTCATGTCTGGTAAGTTACTAGAGTACTGACAAGCTGTCAGGACCTCAGGACATACCTCAACTCTCACTCCCCTTCTGGACCTCCTACCTCCGGACCTCCCCTACCACACCTCCACCTCCTTGTTGTTGGTAACCCTCAACTTGTCTATCCACCCTCCTTCTTACTTCTGGTCTCCATCACCTCCAGTGGTCATGTACCTCCAGTACCTCCCCACTCCTACCTTACCTCTGTTGGAAAACAGCGCGCTAGCGCGGCCGTGCGAGTTTTCGTACAGCCACATTCCCACGGCCGAGCGAGGAACTCGCCCGGCCAGCCACATCTATTTATTCATTCTTTTGTATTCATTTCGGACTATCCCGCTCCTAAACTACATGGGAATTACCGCTCATTGAATAACTTTTTCCCTTAGTTCTCTTTCGCATTACTTGCTTGAGACTGAGTTGCCCGCTTTGCTAGCAATCTCATATTACTTTAACCTCTGGTCATGTTACTCCTTATTAGTTTATCATTTGATATTTTCTACAACCCCAATATTCTGGACTATGACTTCTGGGCTCCAGACTCTTCTGGATGCCTCCCCTTGTAGTTCCCCTGCTCATTCATAGATGGGCCCAGGCCTTACCATTCAGTTGATTTCTAATTCTCCCACTCCACAACTTCAGATGTAACTTGGGCTTTTCATCTTTTCTATATTTGTCATGTGGAGTCTTTCTATTTACTTCTCCTTCCCCTTGGTAACCCTTGGTTGCCTTTGGATCCTTTTATCTCTGCTATATGTATGCATGTACCACTCTAGTAAATAGTTCCCCCCAGTTATAATATTAAGTCCTTGAATCCAAACCCTCTCCCAGGATGTCTATCGCATTCTACTCATCTGCTGCTCCACCCTGAACCAAGAACTGAGTGACAGACGTGTCTAAAGGTGCCTTGGTATAAACCCCAATGAATCGCATGACAAACGATTGACCCTTGCTAATGCCTCCATTGTTAAGTAGTGAGGGGGGGCTTCTGGCCCCCTTCCACTGGTGGCCTCGGTTCCTCCATCACCAGCTCCCCTGACAAATTGGGGACAACGAGGACGTAATGGGCACAGTGCTCCATTCTGAGTTGCTGAAGCCAAGTCCCTTCAACACCCCATCACCCTTGGAGCTCCGCCCCACCTGCAGCCTGTCTCCGACCCACTGTTGGATGACCCAGAATATCGAGCTCTGTCAGGGCATGGGAAATGTTACCGTGACTCGCTGTTGGCAACCATTAAGGTCCGCTGTCTTGGTGTAACAGCCCATTGAGGGCAGGGTTGACAATCACAGCAAAGGGGCCCGGTTTCAGCTTCAATGACTCGTCTGTGAGCATTGCACCTTGTACTTGATGTGGCCCCAATATTTCAGAGTACAGAGGGTGTGACTGAGTCAGACAAGAAGCACAGGGGGTAACCCTAGTTGATTTTCAAACTAAGGTACAAGGTAGTGTACAACCGGTATTTAAGTGTAATGGAATGAATGTGTCATATCCATCCCCAGCCATCGACTTCCGGTCCCTCCGATCCCTCCGGTCTAACTCCGCTCCTTCCTCACTAACCTCGGAGCTCCTGTATTCCGCAATCCTCTCGGTACCCCTCGATGGTCACCACCCCCTCATTTCAATTTATTACCTACGCCTCCCTAAGTACAGAGCCCCAAAGACTTCCGGACAGCTCCGACGTCCGCTAGTGCACTCCCACCTCCGCTGGGCAATACACTCGCCTGCCCTGCAGAGCCCACCTTCGGGCCTATCCCTCCTTTCCGTTTCTGGGTTATCGCCTGCCTTTCCGCTAACCCTGTGACCCGACTCGTCGGTAATATTCAGTCGGCTAATGTTTAACCCCATTAGCTCCACTCCGTTTGGCTCCGCCAATTGCGGACCCGTCTTCGCTGTAACCATATATATATCCCACTTGTACATAGGTTACACTCCAGTAATAAAATCAACTAGAGTTACCCCCCTTAGGTTCTGATTGCCAGTCAGTAAGTTAGGGCATGGACGTGTCACTAGGCACAGCGCTCTTGGCAGAAGTCGCTGAGGCCAAAGCCCTCCGCTACGGAGACACTCCCTCGTCTCGAATCCGGTCTCTGACAGAATGGGAATTAGTCACCAGATCTCATGGAGATTGTGGGTGGCTTTAAGAAGGGATAAAAACAAACAAAGAACATGGGAGAAGGACAGCTTTGCATGGCTGTCAAGAAAACAAGAGTAAATAAGGAATGAACATAGGCCCATTGTGGGCTGTGAAAAAGGTAACAACGATGGGGAAGGGTGATGGGCTCGTCCAGGCAGTGTTGAGCAGGGAGCGGAGTAGATGGGGTAGAAGCGGAGGTGGGAGAAGGGGTGGGGAGTGAGCACCTGACTGTGGGAATTTCTGGGCCATGACAAGCTCCATCAGACACACCTGCCTGGATAGCGATTGGATCTTCCCCAGGTGGGTTTGTGACACTGTCCACCTTGGCAAGGCCATCAGGTAAAGGTCTTCCATCAAGATGATCATAAACCTCTTCTAACATTACCTCTACATCATCCTCTATAGTGCAAGAGAATTCATTTTCGAATGGTACTGTAGCAGAGCTGGAATAGATAAGGTTGTTGGAAGGACACTGGCACAGCACAGCTATTGCTTGGGCTAGAGTGGCATCTTGTTGTGGGAGATTGTTGAGGATGGTACTGAGTGGAGGAGAAGTGAGGCTGGCTGTGATAGACTAAATTCACCTGAACAGCACAATTCAAAGGCCTACATGCCAATACTTATTAGTTATGGCTATATGAGAAGGTCCGGATATCTGAGTTTGCTTTTCTTGGTTGTCTGGCACGTTCCGCAGGATGTGCAGAATTTTTCGATGTCTTTTGACATCGAAGACCACCAGTAGTGTTTGCATACGTACTTGAGCATCCTTTTGGCACTGAGGTGACCAAGAATTCTGTGTGTGTGCTTGACCATGATGCCCATAATCCTCTCCCCTTGATGAATGGATTCAGGGAGGACAAGATGTGGTTTGCTTGAATCATTCAGACGAGAAATCAGGCCATCAATGATTGAGAACTGGAACTCCTCAGGTTTTGCGAGGATTCCTTTCCATGCAACATGCCTGGAGTAGCCGTCTTTCACACTCATGATGAAAGCATTGTCCTCTACATGGGGACATACTTCTGCCAATGGCAGCAGTATATCTTTGAGGGAAAGCTCCCTCCTCCCCAGACTCCTCCCCAGTTGCTCTCCGATTTGCCAAGGTTTATCTGCAACTTCGTGGGACCTCTAATCTAACAAGCGACTGGCACAACTTGTCACACGTGACATTCCCACAGGGGTGTCACCTCATGTACAAGGCATGTCAGTCTTGCGCTGGTTGGAACTCTGTATGCGTTATGCCAGCATTGAAGTGTTTGTGGCTTATGTGCAGCGTCATCAATTGTATAACACAGACCAGTGTTATACAGCAATGTCTCAGTATGGGAATTACAGTATGTTCGAGTGAATTTATGCTTGGGGTGGGATCATGAGTGATGCTTGGTGGGGGCTGAACAGGGGGGGTTGTCATATCCCGGAATCCCGACCCTGCACACTCCCACCACACCACACCTTCCTAACAACTTCACCATCCCCTACACCATGCCTCCCCACTCCCCAAGTCACCTTCCCTCCTGACTGTCTCAGCTCCGGTCTGGTTGCGGCACACCGAACCTTGGCTACTCCCATCCCGGAACCTCGGTCCCGAGTCGGAACATTTGGAGACCCCGGATTTGCTCCGATATCCCGACGGACCTCCGACATCCCATGACATGCCCTTAAACCATTCCTCCACCCACTTCATTTATTGGAGTCACCCAACATCCTTTGGATGCGCAACTCCGCTTTCGGAGCTACCCGCATCCTTCGGTGATCTCCCTCACGTTATCATTTATTAGTCACCTTCCATTCTTAGCACGACTACCCTTTTACTACCATCCAGTCGGCTAACCCCCCTTTACCCATTTGTCTTCCCCATTCATTTTCCGGCCTCCAACTCCGCCCTCCTTGGCCCGACACCTCGGTTCCCCGTTTTAGATATCGTTCGGGACCTTTCGGTACCTCTTGGTATCATTCGGTACCTTTCGGTGTTCTCCCATTTTGTCATTTCGGACTTTGACTAAAGTCCTCCCCATCCTCCTTTTTAAATACACATAGATTAGAACCTGTAGTTCCTCAGTTCTAATCTCGACTAAAATGCCACCCAAAGTCCCTCTGAGTGATTCCTGTTCCTGTTCTACAAGACACCTCAGACATAAGAAATACAAGGACTAACTGAGACGTAACGGAGGCACAGCGCTCCCTCCGAGTTGCTGAGGCCGCATCCTTCTTAGAGCCTCTTGTACCATCCAGCAGAACCGGGCTCCCTGAGAAGCTTCGGTTCACTACCGGAGCCCTCGGACTCCCCTCTAGTTGAGCCCCGCCTGCATTCGGACTCACGCATTTACCCCCCCTTCTGTCAACACTCGGGTTTTTGACAGGGGTCTGAACTGGCAAGCGGAGGTGCAGGCACCTTCTTAGGGCATTGCGGATTAGACTCTAGAACACCGTATATATCAATATGCTAGGGATGAGGAGTAATGTAGTACTTACTATTATGACCGAAACCCTGACAAGTGCTGCATCGCTGACTACCCGGGCCTTTTTTGACTCGTGGCTTTGCATGAGGTTTGGAATCAGAAGAAGTACTGGCTACATGAGACATGGCAGAATGGTCATCCGATGTGATTGCCACTTCTGAGATCTTGTTGCTGTCCGGAAGAACCGCTGCCGGGGGCGAATGCCCATAGACATTGTGAATGATACCAAGAAGAGTGGTACCATGGTCATCCATCCAATTCCACTTGAAGTTATTATGAAGATCGTCAACAGTGGTCAGTGGTCCCGCGCTTGCAAGGTTGCAGAGGAGTCGAATGTGTGAGCGGTTGAGAAATATGTGCGGCCCAAGGAAATGATCTTCCATGTCTTTCCACCACTCGGTGTGAAGCTTCACTCGAAATTCTTTGAGCCTATGCTCAAGCTCCACATCAAGTGGTGTCAGTTGCCGATTTTCATCAATTTTGATTTTGTTGGGGTTGCGTGTGGATTTTGGGATGGGATCTGCAGTGTGCATCTTTTCAGTGTGAATGGAGTCACAGAGATCACAGCATGACATAGGTGGATGGTGGGTACAGCGTTCACAACAGAATGGCTCCTTAGCTTCACATGGGTTCAGTTTCCATGGTATGTGCAAATGAAGCAATAGATACTCACCAACTGAATTGTTTTCATATAGGAAATCAAGCACTTTCCATCGGCAACCTTTGCAAAGGTGTCAGGGACCGACCCGGGGTCGAGAGCGTCTGGGTATACCGCTCGGGGCTGAGGGCCCGGCAGGGTGGGGCGCAGGCATGCATAACAACGGGCCCGAAGCAGGCAAGGGTCCCTGGCCACTTAGACTAAAGTGGGAAGTGTGTTATTATTATTAGCAGGGGAATGTAAGCTACTTGCCTAAAGTGGGAAGTGTGAGAAGAAGGTTGCTTCTCAGTTCCCACTTAGGCTGTGTTTATGTACATGCGGTTGGAGGTCACATGGGGAGCGCCACGTCATCTACGCACACAGCTGCATCTGCCCGGGTATCTCCGTAAGAGGTCTTGGGGGCGTCTGGTGTGTAGGGCGTCACCCGGTGTGTCCGGGTCCGGGCATGTTGCGTGTTAATGGTACATCGAGCAAGGAAGTCGTCTGTGTAGTAGAAAAGGAAAGAAGGAGAAAGAAAGGAGAGAAGAAGGAGAAGGAAAAGGGAAAGGAAGGAGGAGAGAAAGGAGGAGGGAGGATGGGGGCAGCGGGTGAGGATAGTGGGATCGGGTGGGGTCGGACCGGGTGGAGTGGGGTCAGGCAGGTGTGCCCTGACAGAAGGTCACAATTTGAAAGTACTGAGTTATAGACAAAGGCAGCAAGATGGCAATCCAGCTCCTCTGAAGGGGGTTTACGCTTGCGGGAAGGTTTCTTTGCTGTGCTCCTGCTCTTCACCCCCGTTTCTTGGCATTCAGGCAGAGTGGAAGCTAATCCTTGATGCTGATCAGTTGTGCTGACCTTCCCATCCTCATCTCCCTCATCGCTCCTTTCTTCTGCGTCGTCATCGGTTCTGCCGCCCTCACCACTTTTGGGTGCCTGGTCATCTGGGTCAATGCTCATTTCAGCCCACGCTTGTAGCTCTTCTGGGCTTGCTTTGGCGTTCAGTGTGTCCTCAATCACTTTGTCTATGGCCGGGGTATTTCCTCTTTCTCCGAGGACAGTCCGCTTTTGGGGACTGACTGTAGCTTCATCTACCGTTTTCCGCTTTGTAGGGACAGTCAAAGGCATATCTTCAAATCTTGAAGCCCAACGTTCCAATTCCGGCTTACTGAAGTACGTTTTCTCAACCAGGAGGATAGCAGTTGCTTGGATTGAGGAGTCACGTCCTGCGCGCCCAAAATGCTGTACAATGGCATCAATTTTCTTCGGGAGTCGGTACTGGACAACAATTCTGATGCGACGTAAATCAAGACCCTGTAGATGAGTCTTCAGACCACATTGGCGAGCTTGTACACAAATTACTGACCATCCCACAGGCGTCTGTACAGCAGAGGCCTAATATTCCCCCCTCTCATATTCCTCAATCGTCTCCTTTTTAAATGCATCTGACATCCCTGAATGATACCAGACAATCCGATGATGAGCATGCACTGGTACGTGGCTTCATAAGAAGAGTGCCGTACTTTCAGCATCCACTCGTGAGTTACAGTAGATGAGGAATTGCGGAATATTTTGTCTGACCCAGTCTGAGTTGTCAATCTCAGGATTCAGCGGCACAAGGAATGCAAGATCAAGGTGAGAAGTGATAGAATACTTCATCTTCCACACACAGAGATGGATGTTTGGCCTATCATTGGAACGACAGTAGATCATAGTATTCCGGTGTAGCCCGATTATACGGAGGGTGTCTTGGAGCACATGTGAGTGAAGTGTTGCTGATGTCAAATACCAGGATACTTCTCCCAGGACGGCATGCAGGCAGGAGAGATGTAAATATGATGATCGGAAGTCTCTTCCCCACTGACTGACACAGTGGGCTTCATCAATAATTACGCGATTTATCTTTTTCTTGATTTTTGGTTCATTCCAGATGCGCATGAAGTGTGGGTCGACTGCTAGCTCAGGAGATAGGACAACTGTTCGGAACTGCAGGCACTTGATCTCCTAGGTTTTACGTATCAGTCTTTGTGAACCTAATGTAAGTTCATTCCCATACTTCGAGCAATGTCGGTGACTCTCCCAACAGCTCTGCTGTCACTGACACAGCGCAGAATCCCCTCCAAGAAGATTCATCAGCAAGCTGCTGTCCTAGGTTCTTCAATGGAACAACAATTATTGTGAGTCCATTCTCATATAGCATGGGAAGCCAGAAGATAAAGCTCTTCCCAGAACCTGTAGCAGAAATGGACACCAAATTTCTCCGATGAACCAGTTGGAATGCAATATCACTTTGCCATCGACAAGGTCTCTGACCAAAGCGGCTTGTGCTGTCAAGCTGTAGCTGTTCTGCAGTGTGAGGCTTTGCTGGAAATGGAGGGGTAGGCAGGGGAGGCGGCATGTGCTTCCCAGAGACAAACAAGGAATGGCAAGTGCCAAATTTCCCTTTTTGCGCCACATCTCTCCTTGACCTATTTGTTCTCATTATTAAATGGGCTCTTCCTAGGAACATCACATCACATCGCCTCAAGATCATCCATCTCTAAGGCCCCTAACTCTGTATCCCCTTTTTCTAGATCGACCTCCTTGGAATTCACCCGATAGTACTCTGCTAGCCCATCGTTAAGAATATCTGGTACTTCGGCCTCAACATGTGAGCCTGGGACCAGGGAATGGCAATGGTAGGATCTGATTTTCTTGCATAGTTCCTGGAGTGTATTGGCCATGTTAGTTGGAGTGTGCCGAGTGCTATTAGGTGTGACAGCGAAATTCATCTCAATATTTGTGTGAACTGAGCGATATGTGTCAATCAGTGAAGACTGATTGATTATGTGTGTCAAGGTTCGGTTTGAGCCTTTGCCACAAAAAATTACCTGGGGAGTGTTACTTGTTAGTTGATCTTGGTATGATATCTACATTGACGCACTTTTGTATAGAGATTATTCAATTCTACTCACCAGTCTACACCTCTAAACCCATCGGGCATGCCTGTTGGATTGCACAACCAATGCATTTCGATAGTATGGCTCAGCCTTGCAGGGCAAGTGTCGTGTAAATCTCGAAGGAATTTGGAGAGATGTGCCACATACTTATGTTTTCCACATGCACAAAACATCGGCACCCATATCCATAGGAGATCTTTCATGAAACCAACTGCTCCAGTGTTTGATGCCTGGGCTAGTAACACATACATCAGCCCATCCCGATTAAACAGCAGCTGATTTTCCAGCCTCCTATCGCATTTGGAGTTGGGTAGATCCTGTAAGTCATTGAAGTTGTTTCCCGCAAAGTGCTTGATAAAGATTTGATGTGCCAGATCATCGATTGTATCCCATGCCGGTTCGGTTTCAGAAAATCCTTGCAGATCGCTGTTCCCAAGCACCTGCTCCCAGCACACTGTTATATGCACTTTCACGAGGTGCATGATCCCATCATTCAGCATATGATAACTTGGATTCCTACTAAGTTTCGTGAAGTCTCGAGGGCGGAGGGTTTGAAACAGTTTGTAAGTGCCACCTTCATTTGATTGCAATGCATGTCCACTAATATGTGTTCTCCAAATGGCATCAACGGCTGCCATCCGAATGTGGAATACCCCCGGTACTGTCACAAGCCACTGTAGTCTATTCTGACTACTATTCTCGATTGCATGGAAGAATGTTGTGCTGTCATGACGTTCTTGTGTGCCCAGGTCACCATGGCATAAACGTATGTATGAGTCATACCATTCACTTTTTGTACCCAGCTGGCGTTCAAGATTATCTACAATCTCAACGTTCCCGTCGTTGCTTGATGCCTTTATGTGCATTGCGCGTGCTGGCTGCTGAGTTGATTTCTCAACACCTATCCACTTTGATGATGGCATCGGACCAAGAAGGTCCTTGTATGATGAAGGAAGGTACTCCACAATTACACTCTTGATGTACCACTGCATTGCCAGCTCTATGTGTGGGATTGACTCTCCCACTCGCTTTAGGATATACTTCTGTGATGGCAGATGCGAAGGAGTGACATCCTTTGTGCCTTGCGGATTTAATGAGCTTTTCCTCCATAGCTCATCTGAGAACCGTAAGTCATCCAGTGTTGTGCTGTGTCCCAATGGTATGAAAGTACCAGTTGTGATGCTTTCAAATGTACCAGGATTTTCTAACGTGGCCTCCTTTGGCTTGAAATCGAAATCAAGATTGTCATATGCCAGTGCACATAGACCATCCTTGGATAGATCACGTATGATTTTCTGTCGCTCGACTGTTAGCGACTTCACCATATTCATCATGGACATCACAGAGACACTCCATCCACCATGGGCAAGCACATTTATGACTCGCTCCGGTGTGTTTACTGATTCTAAGAAGAATCCTTGGACAGCTTGGAAGGCATTGCACCGGGAATTCGTACTATTTGCGAGGATTGATAGAATGACGCATCCTTTCTAGTATCGAATGTGAGCTGCACTTCATTTCAATGCTGATTGCTTACAATAGATAACAATGCACCATTTTCGGCATCAACGGCATCATTATTCTCCTCATCTGACCCTCCATTTCCACTCCTAATACCCATCGGTATTTCATTTAACTGCCCTTGTCGGTTGCGGTGGCTTTCGGGGTCAGTGGCTTTCTTGTAACCCCTCCATCTGCGATATCGGATACTTGAGTTTGCATCCAGCAGTATCTGGACAAGGTTCCAGGTCAACGGAGCAGCATTTCCAAACTTCTCCGCAATCCCTCGAAGATCAAATCCCACAAGGTCGGCAGAGCAAGCATGTGAAGCATTGAAATGTAATCCTGACTCAATGTCTGATGCTCAGATGATTTCCTGTCTTAGTACATCTTGGGAAATGCTGATTGCCCATTCTGTGACTGTAGGTCGAGAAGCACATAAGAGGGAGTTGAGAATGAGATGTATGCCAGGTGGAGATTTAACTGCTGCAGCTGAAGCCCGATATTCTTCCCTCTCACTGTCCAGGATATGACAGGGAAAATTAGGCAAATCATGTAGCGGGGACATTTCAATCTGCTGGAGGATAGTGGCTATCGAGGGCCAGCTCATCTAGTACAAGCGCAGATTTGATGTAATGGGGTTGTATAGATTACTATAATTATTGGCCAAGCTGGTGAGGCTGTTGTTACTTATATACAGAGTTCCAACCAGCACAAGACTGACATGCCTCGTACACGAGGCAACACCCCCGTGGGAATGTCACGTGTGACAAGTTGTGCCAGTCGCTCGTTAGATTAGAGGTCCCACGAAGTTGCGGATAAACCTCAGCAAATTGGAGAGCAACTGGGGAGGAGTCTGCCTCCCTTGATGATTGTCAGGGGGATTAAGCTTGGATGCCTCAAGATCCCATGGGTCCTGAATGTCTCTGATAGAGCAAGATGCAGCCAGCTGTATGCGCTGCATCCTTAATGTGTGTAGGTGTAATAATTCTCGTGCCTCTTCAGCATGCACCAAGGGCAAATTGTCGCCCTCTTTATCAATCTGTATATCTGCGGACATGTAATTGTCATAGTGGACATCCTTATCTGACGAGGATTCATAGTACCATGATAGGGCATCAGCCACTTTGTTTGTGCGGCCCTGTACATACATGATGTCACAATTGAAACTGTGAAAGAAATTTTGCCAGCAATGTAGGAGAAATAATGGTCACACTATGGAAACCCATTATGGAAATATGCCAGATAAATCACAAAACCCCATACAACAAGTAGATATGAGAAAATAGAAGGACCTCTGAATCTTTACGAATTATTACGACTACACACAATAAATTGGAAGAAAGAAAATTAGCAAAAATACTTCAAGCTTAGCATCAACAAGAAGGAATTCTCGGGGGAATTTATAGCAAATATTAAACAAAAATTTAGGACAATCGACCAAGATATGACTATAAAAACAACCAGAGAACCTCCATGGAAACTACTTTCCCATGTCCGCACACATAGCTGAGGATGGAAGTACCATGGAACAAGGATTCCTTAGGAACTAATGCCAAATTAAAAGTCGTGTTCATAATAGGAAATGTAGGTGTCTCTCAAACGGACCCAATGAAAGTGATTACAGGGAAAACTACCCATAAATGATGGAGATATGACTAAAACTCTCGGAAAATGAGGACAATGTTTAAAAGGCAAGCATTGAAGGAGAGAACGAAGGAAGGTCAGTTGGGAGGTTCAAATGAGACCACCACCAAGCTGTTCCCTGGTTCTTTAGTTAGGATGGGGAAGTGTACTAGTGTTATTTATTGTAAATATAGTACCAATCCGAGTGTTTTGGCTAATTCTATTTTTATGGGTTAGTTTTAAAGTTCCTGGGAATTGACTTACAGATAAACCGAGCCCTGCGGAGCTGTTTCTTTATTGAAATTTCTTAATTTGTCTAGGTGTAATTCTGTGTAGCGTTGTTTAATTTGGATTTAATCTTCTACTTGGTGAAGTTTCAAAGATTCTAATCAGTTAATGGATTTGGATTGTGTCTGGAGTGTCCCTTGAGTTTGTTTTATTTTGGTCTTATTTTATTGCTTGTTTTAACAGTAGCAAGATAACTGTTTTGTGTTTACACTTTGAAATCTGGAGTGTTAACCAGCTCTCCTGTTGAAATATCTACTTAATATTTCTCTCCTTAATTGCTGCCTTTTACTACAGTGGCAATCTCAACTGTATATCACTTTTTCGCACTGGAGTGAAAACCAGAAATGCTTGAGAAAAATAATACTCTATTTTCTTACTTCTCTAAGGGGGGTGAAAAGTCGCAGAAAGGGTCTCCCTTTTATACTCCTTGGGTCACCTTCCTTTTTCATGCTCTACCTTCTATTTACAGGATTTATTTACAGTGTATTTTTCTCAAACTGAATAAAAAATGAAATTTTCATGCTATAGTTCTACTGCGCTTGTGCTGCGCTGAACTGCGGTTCTACTGCGGTCAGACTGCACCTAGAATCCTTATTGTCCTCCCTCGCCTAAGCTATTTTAATGGTTAATTGGAACTTGGCTGCACTGTATTTGTCGCAGTTACCTATTTCAAATTCCCTATATATACCATTAAATTTGCTATGACTCGATGATTCTGAATTCAAACTTCGCATTACTATGCGTATGGCTGTGCTGAGACCTTCAGCTGATTTATTCCAATTTTATTTGGTGACATTTAGTTAAAATGAGACTGAAATGATAAATGAGTGAATTATTCAGGTTTAAAACTGAAAGAAAAAGTTGCTAGTAGTCAAGAATTACTCAAACGAATGTGTTATAGCTCTCCACTTCATTAGAACATTGTTCCCTAAAATTCCTGCCATGGTCCATCGTAGTTTAGTGGTTTTCGTGAATTTCGTTCATATTCCCTGATTCCCCTTTGTATTATCACATCCTAATCCTCCATATGTATTGTTCGTTGTTATAGTAGGTTGTCCTTGAAGATTTCATATTTTTATCTATTTTATTTAGGACTCTGGACCTCTTGAAGCTGTCTTCCCACGCGTTTTCAGGTTTCTAACTTCATGTCCTTGTATCTCATTCATTTCTGGATGTTTTCTCACGTTCTTGGTATCATAAATTTTTATTTATTCCCACCTTTCCAATGGTACTAAGGTTGTGTCCTATTTCCTGGTATTTGTTGAGTTAGCAAAGATTCGCGCGCACATTCGGTAATCATGTGCATCGTTCCCATAGTCGTTTGTATGCAGGAGCCGTTTTCGTTTAATTGTTCAGGATTTATGATATGCGCGGGTGTTTATTTCTTTCATATGGGCTTCTGTGATTTATTTCAGATTTTTCCCTCATGATCTAAGGTTGTTTTGCACTTTCCATGCTTTGTTTTGACCGGGCTCTTCCTTATTTGGATGGAAATTGGTCTTCGCGATCTGCCGAAGTGCGGATCTCGGTTCCGACAGCCGGTTCCCTGCGCATCGCCACCCTCACGTGTCATTATACATGATGCGGATTTCTATATTCCCATCATGAGTATAACTTCACAACGGCTGGACCGTTTGGGCTGAAAATTTGCATAACTATAGTTCCCCATTTTTAATAATTTCTGTGTAAATTTCGTTGTATGTTTTAATTATGGATCCTACGCAAACATCGTCTTTTCCCTGAGCTCGGACTTTTGATGTCGCTATTCCCATTATTGGATATCTCATTAATGCGCGATCCTTTTATTATGAAACTTTGGGAGGATTAAGATTAGATCCCTTCCTTTCTAATGGGCTATCAAGCTTGTCTCGGTCATTACTAGTTAATCTTCGTGCTTGCCTTTTAGACATTGTCCTTGTTTTGCAGGAGTTTTAGTCATATCTCCGTCGTTTATGGGTAGTTTCCCCTGTAATTACTCTCATTGGGTCCGTTTGGGGGACATCTACATTTCCTATTATAAACACAACTTTGACTTTTGCATTAGTTCCTGAGGAATCTTTGTTCCGTGGTACTTCCATCCTTGGCTACATGTGCGGACGTGGGAAAGTAGTTTCCGTGGAGGTTCTCTGATTATTTTTATAGTCAAATCTTGGTCGATTGTCCTAATTCTTGGTTTAATATTTGCTATAAATTCCCCCGAGAATTCCGTCTCGTTGATGGTAAGCTTGAAGTATTTTTGCTATTTTTCTTTCTTTCGATTTATCGCGTATAGTCATAATAATTCGTAAAAATTCGTAAAATTCGTTAAAATTCAGGTCCTTCTATTTTCTCATATCTACTTGTTGTATGAGGTTTTGTGATTTATCTGGCATATTTCCATAATGGGTTTCCATAGTGTGGCCATTATTTCTCCTACGGCATGAAGAACAAGCAGTAACGACCGAGACGAGCTTGATAGCTCATTAGAAAGGAAGGGATCTAATCTTAATCCACCCAAATTTTCATAATAAAAGGATCCCGCATCAATGAGATATCCAATAATGGGAAGAGCGACATCAAAAGTCTGGGCTCAGGGAAAAGATGACATTTACGTAGGATCCATATTTAAAACACACTACGAAAGTTACACGAAAATTATGATAAATAGGAAACTATAGTTATGCAAAGTTTCAGCCCAAACGGTCCAGCCGTTGTGAAGTTATACCAATGACAGGAATATAGAAATCTGCATCATGTTTAAAGACACGTGAGGGTGGTGATGCAAAGGGAACTGGCTGTTGGAACTGAGATCCACACTTCAGCAGATCATGAAGACCAATTTCCATCCAAATAAGGAAGACCCCAGTCAAAACAAAGCACAGAAAGTACAAAACAACCTTAGATCATGAGGGAAAAATCTGAAATAAATCACGGAAGCCCATATGAAGGATACAAACACCCACGCTGTAGGTGGGATAATTGCCCACATGCAGAGCCGGCTTGGATACCCGCTTCCACAATTAGAAAACCACTTCTATTCACGTGATGACTTGGTCCGGATTTGATACCTAAAAATAGTGCTAATTCGTACGATTCC